TGCGCGTCACATTGCTGGCCTCTGCACTGCGCGTCACATTGCTGAAATCTGCACTGCGTGCCACATTGCTGACCTCTGCATTGCGCGTCACATTGCTGACCGGTGTACTGTGCGTCACACAGCTGGCCTCTGTATTCTGCATTGCACCACTGACTTCTGTACTGTGCATTGTTACTGATCTTTGTACTGTGTGTCACACCGCTGACCTGGCGAAGTTAAGGCCGCGGCAGGGTAAGGCTTAGGTGGGGCAACTGGTGGCGAGTAAATTTTAAGGCCTGGCTAGTAGCATAGGACTTGAAATTTTGAGCCCTGGTCTATAGGATGTGAGGACGCTGAGGGACATACCATTGCTGCAGCAGAGGAGACAGGCTGGCGGGAGCACTGTAGAAGCCGGCTAGCTCCAAGGATTGGGTGAGCATAACTTTATTTTCCTCCTCCCTCAACCAAAACGAGCACTTAACCCTTGCAGTGCAGAGGTAGCCCCACTGCAAGGGTTAAAAAAAATTTGCCTGGAGTTCTGCTTTAACAAGAACTTATCTTGGCGTAAGACAAAAAATTATTCATTACAGGATTGGGATGACAGTTCAGGCACACATTTAATTAGCAACTGAACACCTTGTGTTTAAAGGGCAATTTGTGAAGTACCAAGAGAACTAAATTCAAATCCTATGGAGAAACAGGTGGGTGCACATGAAATACATATCTATCTGGATGTCGCAACACTTCTTAAAACTCAACCTTTCAAAAACTGAGTTTTTGATATTTCCTCCTGCCCGTGCACCTTCCCCCAACTTTTCCCTTGAGATTGTTAACACAACTATCCAGCCCTCCCCCCATGCCAAGGTCCTAGGTGTCATCCTTGACTCGGACCTCACCTTTCTCCCCCACATCCAATCACTATCCAAATCATGCCGCCTCCACCTTCGTAACATCTCCAAAATACGCTCCTTCCTCACCAAAGATACCACAAAATTACTCATCCACTCCCTTGTTATCTCTCGTCTTGACTATTGCAACTCCCTCCTCATTGGCCTACCTCTACACAGGCTACCCCCCCTTCAGTCTATCATGAATGCAGCTGCTAGGCTCATCCACCTAACCAACCGCTCAGTGTCTGCAACCCCCCTCTGTCAATCCCTACACTGGCTTCCTATAGCCCAAAGGATAAAATTCAAAATATTAACAACCGCGTACAAAGCCATCCACAACTCTGGCCCCGGCTATATCTCCAACCTGGTCTCAAAGTATTACCCTAACCGTCCCCTCCGCTCTTCACAAGACCTCCTGCTTTCCAGCTCCGTCATCAACTCCTCCCATGCTCGCCTCCAGGACTTCACTAGAGTGTCTCCTATTCTATGGAACTCTCTACCCCAACCTGTCCGTCTATCTCCCACACTGACTGCCTTTAGGCGATCCCTTAAGACTCATCTCTTCAGGGAAGCCTATCCCACCTCAACCTAACCACTGAACAATCACTTTCTCAAACAATCATCCCCGCACAGCTACCTCCTCATGTATCACTTGCCCCTCCTTTTTAGATTGTAAGCCCTCACGGGCAGGGCTCTCCTTACCATCTTGTCTTAAATTGTATTGTGACTGTAATGTCTTCCTTATATTGTAAAGCGCTGTGCAAACTATTGGCGCTATATAAATCCTGTATAATAATAATAATACAGCCTGTACGAGAGTATTAATCAATGAGAGGCTAACGTCCTTTGGAACAAGATTGCAAGCACTGAGATCGGACCTTTAATAGTACTTAGAACAAACTGTTGATTCAGGCCGACATATGCACCAAACGACATATGCTATCCATGATGGTGATAGTAGATCTTGCAGGACATTGACTTCCTAGCTTTTAACATGTTGGGAAACACTAAATCAGAGAGGCCCATGCCCCTGAAGACCTATGCTTCAACAGCCATGCTGTTAAAGCCAGTGGTCGTGAAGTAGGATGGCAAAACTGTCTTTTGGATAGAAAATCCAGTCAACCTGGAAGAGCACAGGGAGCATTAGGTCAGCCCACAGGTGAGTCTAATATAATGAGGTCTGATGAACCCCAGACTGAGTGAGGAGAATGGGGATTTGTACTGAACAAAGTGTAACCCTCAGTTCTCCAAAATTCCAAAAGTCAGTAACAAAAATGGTCAGGCTATGCATTCATGGGATTTAACAAAATAATACATTCCAATATTTAGCATCTTTGACAGGACACAGGCCCAGTGTCATTGAACCCTATTAGCACAGTCCTTTAAACCAAAGCGTGTTAATAGCCATCGTAAACCTTCATGAAGCAAATCTTGTACTTGAATTAGATGAGTGTTTTGTACACGATTCCACAATATAAATCTGTGAGTCTGGTTTTTGAACCACACAGAGTTAAGTTTCATAGAATTTAAATAATTAGTGCTAATGATGGAGATACATTAGGCTATAATGTCCCGGAAGCAGAGGAGATCCAATACATTACCTAAGGAGAATAGGGAAAATACTGTATATCATGCGTGAGATCTATCAAATTGTGATTTCATTCAATTAAAAAATATGTTAGTTGTCAGATTATAAAACACGGTCATCTGGAAATATTACCAGAGTTATAAAAAACTGGCATTAAGGGAGTGTTTGCTGAAATATCATGAATACTTCTGGCTGTAGGGACTGTTCGCCGTTTCCAGGAGCTGTTGGCTGAGGTAATCTACCTGCCAATTGTCCACACCTGAAATGTGAATGGTGGACAAGGCTGGAACATAAGGTTCTCACCAGGACATACTTTTTTCTACTTTACTTGCTGTGGCAAGACTTCTGGTTCCTTCCTGATGGTTGATGTACGCCACTGCCCGACTGGATTCTGATAAGGAAACTCTCCAGTCTAAATGTTTATTGTTGTAGAGGCAACCAAATTGTTGGAAGCTCCAGAATGTTGATCAGGAGTCAAGATTTCTCCATTGTCTAAGTCCCCTGCACCGTGCCTATTGTGTCTAGGACTTTTGCCCAGCCCGTTAGGCTGGCATCCATTGTGATGATCTTCCAAGACCTTGAAAGGAAGGATTTCCTGACCTTGAGAACTGGATTCCTGGTGTTTGGTGTCTGGTGAATTAGTTTGTCTAGCAACTGAACTGATTTGTCCCTGCAACTCCTCAGGGCCAACTTCATCCTGCAAGGATTTTTGAGCCTCCTCATCAAATAGAGCCTCCAAAACCAAAGGCTCAGCATTCACTAAGCCCTGGTTCACACCTAGGCGTATTGCAAATGCACGTCTGTCGCGCGATTCGCGGTAAAAAAATTGCGCGACAAACGCGCGTTTCCGAGGGCTACTTGGCTGTATCGCAATGGAAACGCACAACAAAAACGGCCCAAAGTAGTACATGTACCTTTTCAGGTGTGGGCCGTTTTGTAGCGCGTTAGGGACGGGCTGAAATACGCCAAGGTGTGAACCAGACCCATTGAATACAATGGGATTTAGATGTATGAGCGTTCGTCGAGCGTAGAACGCGCTACAAAACGTTCAGGTGTGAACGAGAGCTTAAGTTGCAGGCAGATCAGATAATGATTCTGATGAGTCAGAGTCAGCAATTAACATTGTGATTTGGCCCATCAAATCCTACATCACTGTAGTTAAATACCTCAAGACTGAACCAGAGCGAGGGGCTATACCTGATGGAGCCAAGGAAACCTCTGAGGAATGTAAATACTTAAAGACTCAAGTAGGGATCAACATTCCAGGCTGTTAAACACTGCAGGCCGCCTTGGAACTGTTAGCGGATTGAAAGCTGGAGATACCTGATGCAGCGGTACCGGTCCTCTTGTGTTTGCAATCCAACATGTGGCATCACAAGGGAAACAACTTAACTCAGTATATCAGGTAAAGACTTGGGTACTTGTTAACTGAATGCTGAAGCAGGACTGGTTCAAATGGTGGGAGGTGACTGGGTTACTGCAAGCGGCAGAAAGGACTAACCAGGGTGGAACCATGTGTCTTTTGAAAAAAGGAGCAATGGTAGGAAGATGCTTCCCCATGCTAAAGATGAGAACAGTGTGCACATGTGACACACCCCCAAGTGACGCAGCATGCAATTCCTAAGTGTTTTAACCCTTTCCATGAAGACCAACAGAAAAAAGGGGATAATAATGGTGTCCA